CCCTGTCATCCCAAAAACCCCCCCCCCCAGCCACAGCATCCCTGCCTCTGGCTAAAGCCATCGCTCGTGCCCAGCCCTAGGGGCTGCTCTGATTTTCAGTGGCTTTTCTCTGTCAGACTGGAGCCACTGGTTTGTCAATGCAGCTGGTCCGAACCGAGCTCAGAGCTGCCCGTAGAAGCGGTGCCTTTCCAGGAGTGATGGAGCCCTTACTCCCCTCTTGGCAGTGTATTGCCCAAGGAGCAGGAGAACAACTGCTCTGGACATCACTTCTTAGGGACAGAATTTTTTATTCATTGCAAGGATACACCCAGCCCCAGCTAAGCCAGCCCGGCTGGGACGGGCTCGACCTCCGGGCACTGTTCACAGCCACCGCGGAGCTGGCTTGTCCCTGCCGGCTCTCGAGGACCACACGCGCCCCACAACACTGGGTTCGCCCCAAATTCAGCAGAACAATGTAATGTGCCTTCCCCAGGGCGGGAGAGGCGGAGAGCCCTCAGACACAGCCCGGTGCCGAGGCGCTGGCACCCCCAGCGCTCCTGCACCAGGGGATGGATGAGGATGAGGAGGGTACGTGCCTTCCCCAGGGCGGGAGAGGTGGAGAGCCCTCGGACACAGCCCGGTGCCGAGGCGCCGGCACCCCCAGCGCTCCTGCACCGGGGGATGGATGAGGATGAGGAGGGTGCAGGGCAGGCAAGCAGCTCCTGCCTTCCCCCGGGGAGCTCTAGGGAAGAACCTCCTCCTCTGCCAGCGTGCCAGGGTTGGAGGCTGGTGGGGGGATGGAGGCCGTGGGGGGTTTGTAGTCTGCCTCATGGAAAACCTGTTCCCCAGCGCCCACGGACTCGGTGCGGGAGAGCGCGCAGTCCTGGCTGTGCCGACGGCTCATGACGCTGCCGGCCCGGAGGCACTCGCGGCACCGACGCTTCCCGATCAGGTAGGCGGCCTCGATGAGGCTCAGCACGATGCAGACGCAGGTGGTGACCACCATGAAGAGGGTGAAGATGTTCTTCTCGGTGGGCCGGGAGATGAAGCAGTCCACCATGTTGGGGCAGGGGGGCAGCTCGCACTTCACCACTCGGGGCAGGGTGTAGTTCCTGTAGAAGTGGTAGAAGATGTAGAGGAAGATCACATCCACGCTGGCCTTGAAGACAAGGCTGAGCAGGTAGGTCCACCACAGCCCACCGTGCTTCTTGCCCGTGTTGCTGTAGAGCTTGGGGCAATTCTCCCCATTCTTCTCCCGGTTCTTCTTCTCGCGGTCCTCCCGGTACCCTCGCTTCTTTCCGGGGTGGGAGTAGGTGCAGCGGTAGTTGTCCCGGCCGGTGGCACGGCGCCTCTGGTCCTTGGCCTCCCGGTAGGCCACGTGCATGATGACCAGGAGGGATGGACATGTCACAAGGATGAGCTGCAGGGCCCAGAGGCGGGTGTGGGAGATGGGGAAGAAGGGGTCG